TTGCGAATGCCAAATGCACAATTCACTTTGGGGTCTTAAAACTCTTACCCTCATTATCCTTAACAGAATTTTGTGACAGAACAGAAAATGTGTCACTTAATCTCATTAAAAATCTAGGAAAATCTGAGGTGGAAGCCGCCGTGGCCCTCTTCCTCCATCCGAGAGCCTAGGTGCGGCTCACTGAATTGCCCTAACGTGTGAAGGCACTGCTGGGAGAGCCTGCTTCCAAGGCCGGCGTGTCTGCCGCGACGGTGTGCAGGGCAGAGAAGGGACAGTGCACGTGGGGAAGGCAGGGGTGGAAGACGGCTCTTGGGAGATGAGGTTCAGAACGAAGCAGGCACAGAATTGGGTGTTCAGGGGTGCGAGGGCTTGGCCGCAGGCGGGGATGGTGATGTCATGCTTTCCTCTTTCAGAGTCATGTCTCCAACCTCCTTTGTGTACGGTGAGTCTGTGGACCCCTCCAACTTCATTCAGCTGGAGGACCTGGAGTGCCATTTCCAGCCCCTCAACGTCACCCTCCAGGTACCCGCCCCTGCAACCTTGTCTGTCCCTGAGGGGCGGGGACCCTGGAAGAACCCACAAGATGTGCCTCGAGGGGACGGGGTCTTTCCAGGAGAAGGCCCTCTTGCCCTGATTGTCCGGCCTGTGGTATGGGTACACAGGTGCGTTCTACAACCACACGTAGACCTGGCTCCCTCCTTGTCCATGTGGACGGCTCTGCTGTCAGGGCTTTGAAAGAAAGCTGCTTCATGGTGCCCCCCAGCCCCAAGGGGACTCCTTTCTGGTCTCGGTCGCTCTGCTCATGACAGTGGGGCAGCCTCAGAGGTTGGCAACCTCTCCTTCCTCCTGGGGTGATCCATGTCAGCCCAGCCAAAGACTCTCCTTTCTCATGGGGGTGCCACCGAAACTCTGTGGAGCCCAGTTCCACCCCGATACACACGAGGTCGCCGGGACCCAGAATTGACTCAGTGGTAACTGGTTTGATTTGGGTTAAGGTCCCAACACTATGGGAGGTGAGCCTGGGCCAGCGACCTGTGAGGCAGTCACGGACAGACTAGACAATGCTGATTTCACCCAGTGCCCTTCCAGGAGCTTCGGATGATGTAAAGGAGAGGAAATAAATGCAGCTGCCTGGCCCCTGTGCATTGCCGTTGCTGCGGTTTCTGCTGTTCTAGCTTACCGCGCTCTGGTCCAGCCCGCCCCTGGAGAGGATGCTCTCAGTCTGGCATTCACCACTGCGGCCAAATAATTATTACTTTCC